AACCAGAAGGTTCTACAAAAGTACTTGAAGAAGGTTGGCGTGGAGGTTGAAGTGGCCGCCGATGGCGCTGAGTGCACCGAAATGGTGTTTGGTCACGCCCACAACTACTACTCCTTGATACTCGTAAGTGCTCATCGTCCCGCAAGATATGTCACTCTGCTGACTAATTTTCTAGTGCGACTTGCATATGCCACGCAAGGATGGCTACCAGGCCTGCCGAGAAATTCGACAATGGGAGAAAGAGCAAGGGTTCAAGAAACTTCCCATCATTGCGCTTTCGGCCAATGTCATGTCCGATGTTCAGGACAAATGCGTTGCGGCCGGGTTCAGCGACTACGTCACCAAGCCCGTCGACTTCATTGATCTCAGCAGAGCCATGTCCAGATTCTTCTGAAGCCTAGAGAAAGACGCAAAACCAGGATAAACAACAACAAGAGGCGGGACTACCAAGTCTCGTGCCTCATACACTTCTGCCTGCCGCAATAGCATAGGCATCCGCACTACACGGTTACATTCAAACACACAAAAATGGGGTTCATACTAGCAAGGCATGGCATTGGGAAAAATAGGAGTTTCGGGGATTCACGAAAGATTCAGGTTCATCATGATTAATATGGTCCTTTCTGCTCATTGTGTACAACTGCTTCGAGGCGGATACCATCATAGAGACGTACCTCTAGAGGAGGGTCTATTACAAAGGGGAGTTACTTCAGGATTATACATTAGCTTATATTCTTCTTATGGACTCACGACAGGGATGACACATGTCGTAGCTTTGGCGATGTATGTGCATGGCGTCAAACGTATGGGCCAACACCGGACTTGTAGAGACATGGACGGAAATCGTTTTGATCAGGTGCCCATATGTGGAGTGTAGGACTGGTTAGGTCAGGCACGGAAGCCAGCCGATGCGTAAGGACGCAGCTCGGTGAGTGGCCCACGTTTGGGAGAGGAGAATGATACTTTCACTGTGTGCTTGGTAGGATTTGTGGGCAGAGATGGCGGTAATTGTGATTGAAAGACGATATCCACTACATTAAATGACGGCCAAAATTCCATAGCTACTTCAGTTTACGTGTATGTGAGGTAATTATGTGGCTGTCGAAATTCAGAGCGCTGAGTGAGGCTCAAGTCAGACAGGCAAATTCATGGTGTCGTCGAAGCTAGCTTATTGACTCAACCTCAGGTTGGGACCGCTTTGTTCCTGCTTTGTAGAGCAAATCCAAGCAACCATCTTACACTCTTCTCCTCTCTTTCTTGATATATGGCATTCTACAGGTCTCACCCGCTCTATCATCCGGACGAGGCAGTGCCCAAGACACTGGAGAGAGGTCTAGGTAATCCGGCCTTGCTCTTGCCTGGTTCGACTCTGCCAATTTAACCCACTTCAAAGTGATCTATTTCGCTGATTGCCGAATCCAGGCTGAAGTAGGAGGCCACTTTCCACGCGAGAGCGACGCCAGGTAGGGAGAGTGATGGTTGACGATTCAGCCTTTCCATCCACACCGCCAAAGGTCTTTCGCTACTCACAACTAACAACCTCTTATTTCCTTTGCCTCGAAGACTGGAATGCGAGAGGCCCATCAATGTTCTCTCCTTCTTTTCTCCCTCGATGACGGCTGTCCATTCGTTTGTCTCGCATGTGCTCGCTGCCTCTGCCACCTTCGGACCGCTCATCTCAACACTCGGTTCTAGGTGGCCGCGAATAGCTTCCTTTCCTTTCTTCACTCGTCAAACTCGCTCTCACCTTTGAGTACTTCTATGGAGCCGAATATTTCTTCCTCACCTCAAATTTAGGTTCTTTCACCACACACTACTTGCGAACAGCATCCCGACCGCGTCACTCGGCGCTAGGTGGCTTACGTCTCTGATACTGGCCATCCACGATCCTTTCGGGCCTCCGGGCGAAATCAACTGATATACGCAGTCCGGAAACAGTCAACGGAGCTTAATTAAAAAGTCGCTCCTTCCGTTGCTGGTTTGCGCAGAGGGTCTAGTCGCCGTTCATCTCGAGGCATCACACAAGTCTCACCAAGTACACTACCACGGCATACTCCTCAACTGTCCACGAGTAAGGCAGTCAACAACATGACTTTGCCCTGGGTTCAACGTGGAAAGAGATGTGCGAGCGAAGATGAGCATAATGCGCCTAAAAGAAAGCGAGTCGAACAACAGTTCCGTTCGAGCGTGGTCGTGCCCAGTGCAGCACCACGGGTGATGGTGGGAACAAGGCCAGAACAGCGACTACATCAATATATGCGAAGACACAGAAGGACCATGGCGATTTGGAGTCCAGGTAATGGCTTAAAGGGCTGTGGCTGGTCTATGGCTACAGATTGTCATCTCCGAAAGAGAAATTTCATTGCTGATATACCGCAGTCCGAACCCCAGAATTTCGCCCACCGCGGCCAACTCGTCTTGGCTGCTTCCCTGAAGTCTCCCGTCACAGTAAGAAGAATACGCATTATATTTTGGTTTCCTTACTTAAAAGAAGTGTTAGGCGTGGCGTCGCTTTGCCGAAACTCAGCTAATGTTCAAGTCGAAACCGATGCCGGCTACAACCTTGCCAAGATGTCCGACCTCAAGCCCGGCATGAGCGTTCAGGAGAAGCTAATGTTAGGACTCCGGACTGGGTTGCAACGCAGGGACGAGTGGCGAGCCAAGGTTGAACAAGATCCAGCCCGTTTACGACATGAATCTCGAAACGATATCATGGCTTTGGGTGGCATCGATATGACCGACCGTGCCCTCGCCTTGCCGAAGTCGTTAAGACAGAAGGAAGTCATCAACGCTGCGGAAGATGAGAAACGGCGTTTGGGGTTTACATCCACGGAAACTACTCTACCAGACAAGAGCCCAGGCCATGCCAACGAGTGGTGGGACATGTACAACGCTTACATCAGAGCCAGATCGATGTTTGTGTAAGCTATCTTCTTGTCGATAGAGAATATTTCGCTCATCAGTGAACAGTAAAGGGGCCTCTCGCAGGCTTACGGCGGTATCACGTCCATACAACAAGACCGTTCACAGCATCCCCGGAGTAATTGCTCGGCGGCGGGCCGATCAGATCATGAATATCGAGTGGCAACCCAGCTACCACGGCATGTCAATGAACAAGAGCTTCAGCGCCTTTCAAGCCAGGTCTATGGAACTGAACGGGTATCGGAAGCGTTCGATACAGTACGTACATTTCCAAAGGGACAACAACGGGCAAAAGTCGTTTCCGAGGGGCCCCCTAGGTGCTAATGCAGGAGACGACGACGATGACTCGAGTTTCACCACAGAGAGGTTCTTTGAACATGATCGGAAACACAAAATATCATTGATAGACTTGGACATGTAAGTATTTCGTCCTTATTCGACACATGGCCGAGCTAACATTTTCTCCAAGCACCGATATCAATGGAGTGAAACGCAGATGGGTATGCATCGAGATAACCAAGCCTCTGGCCCAAGTCAACGGCCCAGCTCCGATCGAACTGACGCCAATGCCACAATCTTTCATCAAGATTGCTATACCTAGTGACAGCATTCTAGTAGTGGTGGACCCCAGCAAGTCACTGCCCATCATAGAAGAGCAACCGGACAAGATGGAACCTCCACAGCTTGGTGATTTTGACAAGCTTACCATCGGGAGGATCGATCCAGGTCTAAAGGATGTGAAGATGAGGCTGAAGATTTCCGGAGACGGCGTGCCGATCTTTGTTACCGGGTCCAAAAAGGGTCATATGCCGGATTACAGCACGCTTGACGACTTTCTCTGCGCATCGGATGTGCCTGGTCTTCCCTGGAAAGAAACAGACAGGCGTGTCAGCAAGAATACCCTATTGCTGAGAAAGGACGAGTTCTGGGACCGCTTTAATTTGGCGGCAGACGCCGACAAAGTGCGGTGGGAATCCCTCCAGGACGCCATGGCGAGCGATGAGTGCATCGTAGACATCACCTTCGAGGGTGATTGGCAAGAATTTGCCCCGGTTGCTCAGGTGTCTCAGTCAAGGTGGACGCCTTTACAGCATGAGTCGTCCCAATCTCAACATAATAGCAGACCGCATGGTATAAATAGAGGGCTGAACAACAGACACCAAGGCAACACGGCTCCTTCTAAAAGTTCTGGGCTTCGCAACGAAGTCCATTGGTAGGACCAACACGCTAGGTAGCAATTGGGGGTCGAATGGGAAATGGCCGAATTGCAAGCAAAGAATGCGCAAAAGATAGAAGTTGCGTCAAACGATGAGGAATTCAATGGGGGTATGGCCGCCTAGGACATGGCGTAGAATCTGTTTACAGCGGACTGGCAGAGGCTCAGAAGGACTCTTGGTGAGGGGGGGTGGGGTGGCAGTGAGAGCGAGTATTCCGTAGCTGAATTTGGTTGATTGGTGCTTACCAGTTTATCTTTCTAGCCATCTGAGTGATTCATGGCTATACAGGAGAGAGAAAAGACCAAAAAAATTGACTTCAGTGGGAATCGAACAAAAGGTTAGGTTGAGTGAGGCTCGAGGACTTTCAAGTTAATACAAAGACCCCCCCATCATACCCCTCGGCCACGTTCCCCCGACCTTTTATGACGAGATGGAAGAAAGCCGAGCCTAAGTACCGCATGACTGATTTCCGAGCAGTATTCCAGTCTCAGGACTCCGGATGGAAGAGGAATACCCGCCCGGGAGGGGGGATGCTCTCGACCGAAGCCTTTTTCACTGCTCCAAAGGGGGGTTGTGTCATTAAAGGGCAAGTCTGCTGAATGAATAACCCTTCGTCTTGCGAGCGAGCCCTAAGTATATGAAAAGACCCTACGATACTTTTCCTTTCTGAATATTTGTGAAAATATGCTGAATCCCCTGGGCCCCAAACTTCTGCTGGAATTACTCCTAGAGTATCAGTATGGGACGTTGTCACAGGTGGGTCCATCGGTGTGCTAAGCCAGAAGCCAGGTGAAGCTCGGTGAAGCCGGGGAAAAGGTTCCGCCGAGCTCCAGCTTCATCCCGCCAAAAAACAAACCCGCCCAGCGAACTTTTTAGAAGCCCGGTGCCTTGAGCAGCAGCAGCACCACCACCCCCGCCATCTCCACGGTTTCCTCTGCAACGGTGAAGCTCTTCGCCAAACACACATCCTCTCGACGATACCAATTTTTTATCGAGGTTTTTAAAATCGTTGTCGCACAACCATGCAGGCTCCAGTAGTGGTAATGAGTATGGCAGCCCCTCCTTCCCCAGAGCTCTGACTAGCTACCCCCCACAAATATCACGATCAGGTACTAACTGCGTACTCTACAGACACCGGCGCCGGTGAACGGCAGACGGGTCGCAAGGCCCAGATGTCCAACATCGCGGCTGCCAAGACGTACGATGTCCTTTCGAACACTCCATAGACACTCGCTAACCCCACCATCAGCGTCGCCGACATTATTCGATCATGCTTGGGCCCCAAGGCTATGTTGAAGATGCTCCTCGACCCCATGGGCGGTATCGTCCTCACCAACGATGGCCACGCCATCCTCAGAGAGATTGAGGTCTCGCACCCTGCAGCAAAGAGCATGATTGAGCTCAGCCGGACACAAGACGAAGAGGTTGGCGATGGCACAACAACGGTCATTATTCTGGGTAAGCCCCTGAAAGCTATGCTGCTTATAAAGCCAGAGACTGACCTGGCCCAGCTGGCGAGATGCTTGCGCAGTCCCTCCCCCAGCTCGAGCGTAACATTCACCCCGTCCAGATCATCGCCGCCTTCCGCCGCGCGCTGAAGGATGCCCTCGAGATCGTCGACGACATCTCCCTCCCCATCGACGTCAACGACGACAAGGCCATGCGCGGCCTCATTTCCTCTTCTATCGGCACCAAGTTCGTCTCGAGATGGTCCGACCTGATGTGCGACCTGGCTCTCCGCGCCGTCCGCACTGTCACCTGGGAGGCCGGCAACGGAAAGACCGAGGTCGACATCAAGAGATACGCACGTGTGGAGAAGGTGCCGGGCGGTGAGATCGAGGACAGCAGAGTGCTTGACGGAGTCATGCTCAACAAGGACATCACCCACCCCAAGATGCGTCGGAGAATAGAGAATCCCAGGATCGTCCTCCTCGACTGCCCCTTGGAGTACAAGAAGGGCGAGTCGCAGACCAATATCGAGATTTCCAAGGAGGAGGACTGGAACCGTATCCTGCAGATCGAGGAGGAGCAGGTTAAGGCTATGTGCGAGGGTATTATCGCTCTCAAGCCCGACCTGGTCATTACCGAGAAGGGTGTCTCAGGTGCGTTTTGTTGTCGGCTAGGTGTTGGGGAACAAGGGCTTACATCCTGCAGATCTCGCTCAGCACTACTTCATGAAGGCTAACATCACCGCCCTCCGCCGCGTTCGCAAGACGGACAACAACAGAATAGCAAGAGCGACGGGCGCCACCATTGTCAACCGCGTCGATGACATCCAGGACTCCGATGTCGGCACGCTCTGCGGCCTGTTCGAGATCGAGAAGATTGGCGACGAGTACTTCACCTTCCTCACCGGATGCAAGAACCCCAAGGCCTGCACAGTGCTCCTCCGCGGTCCGTCAAAGGACGTGCTCAACGAGATTGAGCGTAACCTGCAGGATGCCATGGGTGTTGCCCGCAACGTCATGTTCAACCCCAGACTCTCCCCCGGTGGTGGCGCTACTGAGATGGCCGTCTCGGTGCGGTTGAGCCAGCTCGCAAAGGGTGTCGAGGGTGTCCAGCAATGGCCGTACAAGGCCGTCGCTGACACGCTTGAGGTTATCCCCCGTACCTTGGTCCAGAACGCCGGTGCCAGCCCCGTCAGAGTACTGACTGACCTGCGCGCCAAGCACGCAGAGGGCAAGCACTCGTGGGGTATCAACGGTGACTCTGGCGTTGTCGCCGACATGAAGGAGTACGGTGTGTGGGAGCCCGAGGCTATCAAGTTGCAGAGCATCAAGACGGCGATTGAGGTATGTCTACATTGGTTTACGATTCTTGCTCCTCTTTTCTCTTCATCTTTCTACACATTGTTCAACAATACTAATACATGCCTTACAGTCCGCTTGCTTGCTCCTCAGAGTAGACGACATTTGCAGCGCAAGAAAGGCGGCGCAAATGGGCAACGGCCTGCACGGAGGTGGTGACGAATAAGATGCCTGTTGACGTTAGTCGGATTCGGTATTTTTCATGACGAAGACGGGAGAGCGGTTGCAACGAGCAGTGATGAAGATGAAAAAAAAAGGTCATACCCCTGTATGGATGCATAGATATGGGATTAGAAATTACCTAGACGACTGAAGTTCTCGGGACATCTCCAAAGGACAAAAAAAGCTTTGATGCTCATGCTTTGCTGAAAATGGACCCCTGCCTCGTGTCTCCTGTCTTGTCAAATCAATGTTTAAGATGGGCGCGGGACCCACCGAACATTTGGTGTTTGGTCTGAAGTTATTTTTGGTCACGCCAAGCTTATGTTCAAGCTTGAAAAAAGGAGCTCAAAGCTCGACGACAACCGAACCCCAAGACCCAGGCTCAGGCCCAGGGGCCCTACAAAACCACGGGACGATGAATCAGTCATCGTCGTGGATCACGATACCCGGGGGCTGAGCAGCTCCTGACGAGGTCGTTGCCGTCTCTGAGCCCTTGTTCTTGCCGTCCTCATTATCCTTGGCATCGTCATCCTCCTTGTTTGTAGATGTTTCCGCCGCAGCCCTTGCGGCGAGACCACCACTTGACGAAGAAGCGGCAGTAGCTCCTCCCTTTGCCACGACACCACCACCACCGGGTCCCTTTTTACCCTTTTGCTTCTTCTTATCCCTCTTTTCCCGATTCTTCCTCGTGCGCTCCTCGTCCTTGGCCGCCCGCTCGGCCTTTTGCCGCTCAAACTCGTCGTTCTCCTTCTCCTGTCTGACCTCGTCGTCCATGGCGCGCAGGCGGTCGTACTCGCGGCGGCGGCTGGCCTTGTAGACGTGGAACTCGCCGGAGCCGGCGCCGGCGGAGGAACCTTGGACGTTTGTGACGATTTCGGGCGGGGCGGCGACGGCGCGTTTGGCGACGGCGCCGGGGCCGGGAGGGAGACGGATCTCTTGGTCTGGTTTGGAGAAGAGGGTTTCGAGGTGTTTTGCGTGCTCGGAGACGGGGGTGAGGGCGCGTTTCTTTGTTGGGCGGCGGGAGCGGGGGTCCGCTGAGGTGGGGATTGATTCGGGGCCTTCGCCGGACATTTTTGCTGCTGCTGCTGTTGCCGCCGGTAGTGTTCGGGGTGTGGAAGGGAGGGAGGTCGGTCGGTCGGTCGAGGGCCGGATCCTGCAGATTTGGCGGTGGGCGGTTGCGTCGAGCAGCTTTTGAGATTGGCGGGGGAGAGTCGTATGATTGTGGGATGAGGCTGGATGTGGAATGGGCTGATCCGGGGGGGGAGGAACGTTGGTAGGCCCGGCTACGGTGATTGCGCTTTGCTAGCAGCAATACGATGGGCTATGCGGAACGGGCGGGCGGGAAGGCGCATGTGATGTTGCCCGTCTGCGTACGTAGCTGGGTGGTTTACGTTGCAGCAGTCTCTCCCGGTCTAGGCAAAGTGTGACTGACTGTTGGAGTGGGTGAAGTGGGTGATTGAATGTTGGTGACTTGAAGTTTGATTGCGAGTTACCACAAGAGATCGCGAGATGGAGGCGCGCGCGCGCGGCGTAAGGTAAGGTAATCTAAGCGGGAAAAGATTGGCGCGCGGTGGTGTGGTGAGAGGTTGGTCGGTTGTGGGCGGCTAGTAGATGGGCCGGGGTGGCGGCGGCTGTCTGCTGTTTCTGACCTGCCTGTTGGTAAGAACCCATAAGAGTCAAGCACGTTTGCGGCGAGGTGTGTGATTGCCTGTTTTCCGGTTGGAAAGGCTGAAGAAATGAAGCAAGGTGATTGGGGGCGACGGGAGTTACAAGGTGTGGGCGAGGTTGTGTGGATGCGGTGGGGAACATAGATTGAATATCGAATGACAGCGCTGGGAATGGGCGGTTCTGGCCAACGCGCCTAATCGAAGCATGCGGATGAACCACGCCAGAGCCAGACGAGGTGCGGAATTTGAGTGACACAAGCATTCGGTACGGGTAGACATGCTTTTTTGAGTTTACCTTACTAGGTATGTAGGTATGGGGTTGCAGTGATGTTGGTTGTCAGGCAGGCGGCAAGTTGGACCTGGTGAGTGAATCACAATCATAGGAACAGGAAATTGGTTGGGAAGCCTGCAGTAAGAGGAGTTGCACCGCAGCGTCCAACAGAATGTATGCGGTTTGCTCTTCGTCTGTTGGATGAAGATGCATTTTAGGGTTGTAGTATGGCTTCACCTAGAATGCGGGCACTTTGGTTCTGCAGGTAAGACAAAAGTAAGTAGTGCCGGCAGACCCCGTTTCCCCTCCATTGTTTTTTACAAAATAACAATCCGTGAATGGATGTCCGTATTCGCAGACCCATCCAGAGAACCTACCTGGTAGACAAAGGTACTCACAAAAAGTGAAAGAGAAAGGAAGGATGAAAAAAGTGCAAGTGCCGCCGTGCCGCCGCAAGGTGGGGCATACAGCCTCGCCGCTTGTCGGAGGGTAGGTGCGCCAATCAGGGGCCGCGCATTCCCTGTCTCAAGGTGCCAGCTCGAGCCCTGCCTCTGACGTCTGGTTGGCTGACAGGGCTTTGAGATCTTCCGATGTACCCCGCTGTAGAGCAAGAGATGGCCAGGGGCCGTGGCCTGTTGGGACAACTTGGAGGGGGGGGACGGCCCTGCGTGTCTTTAACCCCCCGCGGAATACCTACGCAGTAAAGAGCCAGCCCAAGTCGATTCGGTTGTCTCTGGTAAAGGTACAGGGCAGAGTGTGGATGGGTCTGTTTGACTGTCATTCATTTGAGTGGGACGAGGGGCCCTTTTCTCTAGTATACCTCCTACAGGAGATTTGCGCTCTTGCGGCTGACTTGCGGCTTGCGGCTTGCCATGGCAATACCCAAAAATACCTGTCACACAAGGGGCAACACGCCGTCGATTGATGTACAGTCCTCATGCCCCTATGCGGGAGTTCATCATTGTCACTCATGGCGGCAGTGGCATGGGAAAGATACGTATCGCATGCATGCATGCAGTCAGTGATGGTGGATGCATCAGACAACCAAGAGAGTCCCTGAGAGTCACACTTCCCCTCCAAAAAAAACATCCCTGAGACTTCTCTCTTGCAATGACAGACATGTCCATTCCATCCCACTTAAACCACTCCTTGCTACGCCTTACGTTCCTTGCACCTTCAACCCAAACTCAACCCATCTCAACCTCTTCAACCTGTTGGTCGGAAACATCTACACACTACTAAAGCAGGCCCCATCCCTCTCCCCGTCTGTTCCTAAGGTTAAGGTTGGCATAAAGCGATACACGTACAACGGCAGCCCCATCCCAAGGTTTGCCTCTGCGACTAGCACCCGCCCCCCGTCCACCACTCTCCTGCCTTTGCCCCGCCACGCCTCATTCTTTCCCCTACACTTCCACATCCTTCCCGGTCAACAAGGTTCCCAACGCTACGACTTTTTGCGACAAGAGGCTCGCGTCCATTTTGTTTGCACAGAGCTTTGTTCACTTCTTTGAAAGATATCCTTAGGGCAATAAAGAACTTCTTGCTTCTTACAACAACCACAACCACCTCTCCCACTACACCGCCGACAACCACACTGTCGACCGTTTCAAACAACTTCTAGGCGCCCGATCTCGATTACAAACCGGAAAACACACCCGTCACAACCCGACATCATGGTCAAACCGAGGCTCATTATCCTCATTCGGCACGCTCAGTCCGAGGGCAACAGTGCGACTCTCTCTTTCTTTCTCTTTTTCCCTTGGTCCGAGATATCTCCGTTCGACCGGATTGCTAACTGTTTTCCAAAACGCAGAGAACCGCGATATTCACCAAACGATACCCGATCACCGAGTAAAATTGACACAAGATGGCTGGCAACAAGCCTACGAAGCTGGTCGCAACCTGCGCAAGTTACTGCGTGCCGATGACACACTGCACTTCTTTACTTCTCCCTACCGCCGGACTCGCGAGACAACCGAGGGCATTCTCTCGACGCTGACATCCGACGAGGAGGATCCTTCTCCGTTCAAGCGCTCCAACATCAAGGTCTACGAGGAACCTCGCTTGCGTGAGCAGGACTTTGGTAACTTCCAGCCGTGCTCCGCCGAAATGGAACGCATGTGGCAAGAGCGTGCCGATTACGGCCATTTCTTCTACCGCATCCCCAATGGTGAGAGCGCCGCAGACGCCTACGACAGAGTTAGTGGCTTCAACGAGAGTCTGTGGCGTCAGTTTGGCGAAAATGATTTTGCTAGCGTTTGTGTATTAGGTATGCCGGACACCTTCGAGCCGTTTTGCCCTGTGTTGCTAACTCCTTTAGTCACCCACGGCCTCATGTCCCGGGTGTTCTTGATGAAGTGGTATCACTTCACTGTCGAGTACTTTGAGGACCTGCGGAACGTCAACCACTGCGAGTTTCTCATCATGCGCAAGCAAGAAGAGAGCGGCAAGTACATCCTCGAGAATAAACTCCGGACATGGTCAGAGCTACGCAAGGAGCGGGCCGAGTTAAAGGAGAAGGAGGAGAAGGAACGCAGCGAGGTCGAGGGAAACCAGGAAAGGTCCACCAAGGATGCCAAGAACGGTACTCTTCTCGAACGCAGTAAGACCTTCATCGTCACGCGGCGCTGGGGTGGCTGTCCTAACGGGTGTAATCACAAGAGCCACTACCAGAGGCGAGACGACCTGGAAGCCCTTCGCCGAACGGACGAAGTCACCTCTAATGGGTCTGTTGTATCCCGTCGGCAGTCCCCTGCACCAGGACGGCGACCCATTAAGCGATGCGAGCAGGGATACACATCCGACGAGGGCACCGACAGCGATGGCCGGCCACCGCAGATCGACGTCACCCGAGCTCGCCATGAAGTTGTTTCATCTCCCGATGGAACCCCATCCTTCATCTCTGCCGAAGACCGTCTACGAAGCATGATCTCGCCGCACCTGAATGTTGGCCGTGATTTTGGCGGAACTTTCTCCGGACAGACCTCGATTGCCGGCAGTGACACAGACTCTTCCGAGGAGGATGGCCACAGACCGGAGGTCACAGCCGTGACCAAGATCAAGGTTGGCATTGTGTCCAATGGAGACAGCAACGGCGCCAATGGCAGTATCAACAGCATCGTCGGTGGTCAAACCAAAGGAAACATGACACCAAACACCGAAGACGAGCAATCAGACGAGAAGAGCCGGCGGCGCCGCGCCAACCGCCTTGGCGATACCAATAGCAGCCACCGAGGTTCTGAGGCAGACGAGGATGACATTGACGCCGCAGAGAAGCGAGACAGAAGTATTTTGGGCAGTGTTTACTGAACGACATGACGAAGGCGCCACACGGTGGTTTATCGCAGGCCACACGAAGCTGAGCGGGTTTCTTTGTGGAAAGGCGCATCTACGGATATGGGGCCTGTGCAGGGTTGCGGCTTTTCTCTTCTCCTTTGCTCATGCACGATTTACATGCTTGCGATTAGGGATTCATAACGCATTAGACGGGCACGGGTTACTTCATCGATGGCGCCTTGCTGGATTCGTTGTTGTGTAGTTGTTGGTTACGACTTGAGGAGGATATACCTAGATTGCATGGTGCGAATAGACAAAAAGGGGCAGTCATGTCAATGCCCACAAATTGAAACATTTGAGCGTTATCTGCCAACATGACTGTTATGTAAATTTGATGTTCAAATGATAGGATCACTATCTGTGGCGTGTAATCTAGAGTGCTCCTTGCTTACGTCGGCATAAAAGACGAAAGTGAGTCCTTGGGAGTCAAGTCCTTGGGAGTCGAGTCAGTCATAGGCGTAAAGAGAGACGTCTTGTTTATTGATGAAGAGAAATTCAAGTCCTCCCTTCCTACTTTGCATAGGCATTAAATAACCCGAATTCGGCTTCCCAACGACCTGGGAAAATCGTTGAGAGGAGCCTCGTTGCATAGGAAGCAAATATCGACTCCTCAATCAAGTTGTCAAAGAGTGTCGCCGCAGCCGGTCAGAGGGTGTAGATTAGCAAAAGTACCCTATTATCGTGCCAGTTCGGAACGAGCGAGTAGATTGAATGCTTTCATCGAATATTTGGCCTTCGAGAATAGTATGCAAAGAGTTTGGCGGATTGGGTACCATCGTGGAGGTCTACTAGCAGCTATGTTTCGATGTTTCTGTTCCTATCGCTATGCTCTTGTACATGATGCAATAGAGTCTGTCTAAATTAGCCTAGGTAGGCGTGGGAATACAGATCTTGTAAAGCCGCTCCCTAGGGATTACGCAGGTCTGTAGTTGGTGAAGGGGCAGGACGGTGAGGCAAGATGATTCTTGGCTGATGATGTAGCTTTGATATGAGGCTCGGTGAGATAGGCTGGCACAGTCTCCGGTTCTCGATGGAGGCTACCAAAGCATGAAAAAGGAGAGGACGATATCTCAACATGTTCTTCAGCGCAGCTTGCTGCCCAATCTCCATGTTCCAGCTAAAATGTATTTCGTGTAGGCTTGCATATTCATCCCGTCTACTGAATACACACGGGAAGGAGCCCATATATACCCCCTCAAAGCCATTCCCGTCACCAGCCAGACGGCGCCCGTCTAGGTCGACGGGTCAGGTCAAACTGGCTGGGTGGTGGAGTGGTATCAAGGTCAACAATTAAATCGCCCATCACATGCCTACTCGACGACAGGCTCCGAGTTCGATTCCCAGCATGAGCACCAAGAGATGTAACCCCAATTCAGCACCGGGGGGTTGAACTCTTTTTTTCTTCCCATCTTCATGTGTAACGGGTTTTGATTCCGTGACGTCTAATGGTCATTTGTATAAAGATGAAGCCTCAACTTTTGACTACATAGCTCTACCAAATGTCATGATTCTCCAGAGCAGTTCCGGCAAGCAGCTTTTGAGATTATGGCACAGGGGGAGGTAGGCAATCTACGGTCAACAAACAATCTAGCAGCACCGCCGCTTCTCCGTTTCTCTATGACAATGCTGTGATTAATGCGTGCTGGTAGTGAGTAGGAAACCTCACTAAGGGAATTGGATCATGAGAGAAGTCTCAGGAAGAAGACCACTATCCATCGCTCTTTCCGAGTCTCTCAGAGTCCCTTCGGCGCGAGCCCACGGAGACGGTATTTGGCACCTCCGGCACCTTGGGCCAATCAGCGTCCTGAAAGTGCCGAGAGAAAGATGGCATGCCTCGCTTTAATAATCGCCAACGTAAAAAGCTTTCTTGCAACAAAGTTCTTACCTGGATAACAAGGCTATTATTCTGGCCGGATGTACGGACTGAAGGAGTGAATCATGATTCCGGCGGTGTAACAAGCCGAAATGCCCCTTTGAGGGCGGCGGTGGCCCGCTACGCAGAGTTGAGCCAGCTTACCTGCCGCGCGCTTCTTAACGTTCCAAAAGGAAACGTGACGAGCTCGTACTTCAGGCTTTGATCGGTGAGGGACCATGGACACTGGACCGGAATTCTTTTTCCGAGAGAAAATTAAACAGCCTACCTGGTGGAACCTGCCATGAGTAAGACCCGTATATCAGGCATGCAGGTGGCGCTTCCAAGACCACTTCACAATAGCTGCTGAGGGATACATTTAGAAGACCTTGGAACTTTACGTAAATGAGATGAACGACAGAAAACCGTATCACCGCTCGAGTCCAAGAGCACTCAAGACAGTGGTGAGAGATTATCTTCAGGAGCTACGGAAGGTAGTTGGCACTCACGAAGAGGATGCGCGTGTGAAGAACGCAGCTCAGGCCGCTATCAACACTCTGTCGGAAACATCAGTAATCAAGTGGGATGAGTCTATTTCGATTTCTCATCAAGATATATCACGGGCTAGACCCGTTGAAGAGTCGAAGGTCGAAAGTGTCCGTATAAAGAACTCAATCAACCCCGATTACGTTTGGGGTGAGATCAGAGCCAATGATTATACGCCTGCGCCTCCTCCCAAGCAATAACACTTCATGAAGTTGAATTTGGGGGCTGCATCGGCAAGTAAGTTTTTCTTAACCAAGGTAAGGTTAGTTTGACTTGCGGCGGGAAATTGGTGGTCGATATTCTGCCCAGCTCTGCCGTCTTAGTCAAGACAACACGCGTCTTGAGCCTTGGCTCTCGTGCGCATGACACGGCTCGATGGCAAAGATTGAAGACAAAATCATGGGATGCACGATGAGTATACAGAGGCTCCAGGGGTTTTGGTTTGCCTTATTCGAAGGACTTGTTCGCAAGTCTTTAAAAGCAATCTCTACGCTCGCAACGCCCCCACACGATCTTACGAGTTATCATCCTCTAGTAGAGCGAAACCGAAGTAGAAAATTGTGGCTCGTGCAAAGGCAAACTACAGTCTTCAGAGAACAAGCTTCACCACAAGGGTGAGTCCTAGGGGTTCCAGGGATACCCGTACCTGCCATAGCAACTTTTACCGCTGCTGAAATGCTCGTCCATTTAACGCATCACGCTTCGAAATAAGATGAGGCTCAAGCCACTATACGCCCAAAGGAGACTTGCCGTAACGGGGAGTTAAGCTCAGCAAAGAAGTTACCTGACTCGAAAGGGCGACCTTAGAAACCTTCACATATTAACTACCTCCCTGTTTCCCTAAGACTTCCCAAGTTGCAGTCTCTACGGTTGCGGATCTTTTCTGCCCTTCCGCTTCGGCGAATTTTCCCTCACGTTGTTCAACTTAGCTAGCGGGTTCAGCACGGATGGTAACTTGCTCTGAGAGCCTCACGAACAGACCATATTGATCCATAATTCGCTCTTTCAACTGATTCAAGGCCAGAACCTGTAATTAAACTCTACTGAGGTAGTGGTCGTGTTCTGTTGCGGAGACTCCGGACGGCTTACAAGAAACTGACTGATGCGTGGATGGGACAGCCTCAACTCCGTCAACGCAGGAGTGTAAGTCCACGAAGAGTATAAGTCCACTCAGGTAGTTAGATCCAGTATTCTTGCATAATATGACAATCGTGAATCTCACTTCAGTCTCTCCTTGACCTCACGCTGCGATCTTTGTGTGTAATTCAACAGTCTGTAGTTCTTCCATCACTCTTTCAAGGAAGACACAGCATACACTCATTTATTCCAATAAGTAATCTTTTCAAAAGTCTTGAACTTTCAGCGCTGAAGATGGCTTCTGTCTCGTTGAAGAGCCTCGCGGCTCTGGCCCTCGCCCTCTCGCAACCGGCTCTCGCCGCTGTGTTCCCGACCAACATCTTCAACCGTTCCGAAATCGAGGCCATGTCTCTGGAGAAGCGCGGCTCTATGTATGCCTACCAGCTCTGGGATTCTGCCGAGATCCCGTACATCCTGCAGGGCCTCCCCCACGACCTTTCAGAGTCGATCCGCGGCGCCATGAGAGAGTGGGAGCAGTCGACTTGCATCCGTTTCCTACCCAAGACGAGCCAAGGTGCCTGGGCCAACTTCAAAAAGGTAACATTACTTGCGACAGAGAATATGGTTTGGGCTGCGTGACTGACTGACTCCTAGTTTGACGAAGGATGTTACTCCAGGGGCTTAGGCTCTCCCGGGTCGGGAGAGAGACTCGTCAATCTCGACTACCCCAATGCTTGGGAGAAATTCCTTTCCATGGGAACGTATAAGGCCTGTCTCGACGCCGGAACGCCTTCCCACGAGGTAAGAATATACCATATCATCTTTGCAATGTACAGAGACTTATACTAGAATTTCAGCTTGGGCATCTCATCGGACTCACCCACGAGCACCAACGTCCAGACCGCGACCAATACATTCGCATCCTGACAGACCGCGTCCAGAAGGACGACCTCGACCAGTTCACAATCGACACGGGCGCCGACGTCTCCATTCCCTTCGACTACAACTCCGTCATGATCTACGACACCAAGGCCTTTGCCAAGACCAACAAGCTGACGCCCATCTCCGGCTCGGCAAGCTTGAAGCACACAATGGAAACCGTCACGGACAAGAAGATCGACCCCTGGAACTCCCCGACCCCCAACGACTTCAAGGCCGTCAACAACGCGTACGCCTGCGAGGAGTACTACACCCGCGTGATCCCGCAGTGCCTCGCCGGCAGCATCCCGTCCAACGGCGACTTCTCCTCCTACTCCTTCATTCTCGACAAGCACACCGAGGCCTACATGGCCGCCAACGGCTACACTCACGTCGCGGCCCACCAGAACTGCCGCGCCAACATGGTCGGCCAGGATACCGACAACTGGGGCTTCACGCCGCTCAACGGCTGGGGACCCCGCGCGCAGTACAAGATCACCACGAACCGCTGCAAGAAGGACCACGATCGCCACGCTAGCCGGTATGAGGTCGCCCTGTGCAAGGGAGACAATGAGGGTGCCTGTGATATCAAGTGCGGTCTTCGCCGCGTCTGCCCCTTTGATGCGAGTGGCAAGCAGGTCGACAGCAAGGCTATTGATGTTGTTGACAACAACCTCTGGATCTGCCATCCCCACTAAGTAAACTTATCATTGGGTTGATGGAGACCTCTATGGAGCGAGCCTGGTTGGTAGTGAGTCTAGTCAACTGGACTGTACAGATCTTGGATGTATGAGGAGATGAGAGACGGCATAGCATACGGCATGTTGGGAGTTCCGGCGGTTGCGTAGTTGTTGCGTGGGAAGGATAGGAAATGCGTAATAGCTTAGCTCAGTTACATCGGTTGAATCGAAATCTCAGTATAGGCATTGCTGAAGGAGTTTGAAGCGGTCC